CTCGGCCAGATTCGAGGACTGTGTATGACTTGAGCATCAAAGTTTAGGACTCTCGGAGAGGTTTGATTTGCAGTTACATGGCATAAAAGTTGCGTTATGCTGCTATAGCACAAAAGCTAATTTTTGCTACCGTTGAGAAAGACGCTTCTCCTTTTGCGTTGAATCGAGGGCGATTCTGATGGCTATTTAATCATAGGAGTCATAAGTTGATTTCCCGAATAAAGACTATTTAAAGCTAAGAAGTTATTTTGGCTAGGGCGACTCTGCCCGCAGACCTGGTTGCGTTATACATTGTCCATGTGCTTGTGTAGTGACATCGCGGATGTCACTGTGTAATGCCGGCCCTAGAGAGGCACGGTGTGCGGTGTATTGACATCGCGGGCACCACGTGTATATGGGTGCAGTACCAGCCCTGGAGGGTCTCGGTGAGTGCTGACTGACAGCGCTGGATGGCACCACGCTCTGCGTGCAGTGCCGACCCCTACAGGATAGGGTGTGAGAGTGTCGGCCGCAGGGAATGGGTTACTATAGGCCGTGGCACTCTGGTTAACCCCAGAGGACACGTGACCGGTTAAGTCTGCACAGGGCCCCAAAGTGGGGGCTAGGGATGGTCACGTGTCAGGGCCGAGATCCTGCTCGAGGGATCTCGAAGGTGGTCGTGGTTAAGGGCGGAGCCAGCCACGCCACAGAGGAAATAAGCGAGAGGGACTGGCTGCTGTTGTTCATCCTGAATAATCTACGTTCTACGTCCTACCGAGTCTCTAACATGTGGACCTGGACCCAAGCTGGGGTCCGGTCCGTTGTAACTAGTTACCGTGTAATGAGTGCAGTTAGCCTGGTGGTCCACCACCACAGGTTGTTATAGTGTTAAGGGGCAGTTACCCCGTGTGTTGGTGTTAATAAATGTGTTGCCTCCAAATAGTACGTCTGTGACTCAGTTGAACCCACTACACTTATATTGTTAAAAGTGGTGGAGTTAACGCTTTCCAGATGTGTTTTTGGGTCAGTGTTGGTGGAGTCATGGGGAGGGCTGCTGGAAGACTGCGTCTTTGTGGGTTTGCTCTTGCCTTTTGTTACCAAACCATCTTGATTTAGACGATGTCTCAGTACAATTTGTAAGGTCACCAGTAAGAAAATAAACAACACTTTTGTCAGTCCCCCTCTGGTCAAAGGCTTCCCAACACTGCGTCCGTTATGGCGGCTGTTTGACCATACTTAACCAAGCTGGTCAAGGTGCCCAGGACCGGCTCAAGTTTCCCTTGTTAGTGATATTGGTCATGATTGCGATTCGTGCTCCGATTATTGGGTTCATAGCACAGTGTAATGTTATTGGTTGCGTTATACAATTCATTTATTTTATGGTACCCTGCACCCCATAGCACGATGTGTGGTGAACGTTCCATGCATACGCAACCCTCCGCACAACCGCAAATCACGTGGCTGACAGGATTTCGACAGCCTCACATGACAGTCCAGGCTTATGATACAAGGGAAATGCTGGGGGCTCTGAGAGTCGCATTAGGGCCACTACAGGACAGTGTTAAGCAACGTTTACTAGGAGGAAGAGATGCAATAAATTTGATAAAATGCCTAGTTATCCAAACCCACTCCCTGCCGGGTATTAAATGTGGCTCATCACTCTATAGCGATGCATGCCATCCCTCTGACATAATCAAAACAATCTATCGTACCAGGCATAGGTGGTAAAGGAACAGCCCTGCAATTGATTACCCATGAACCACTGCTGGCAAAATGGCCTCCACTAGAGGGCCCTCTAGAAAGTCCCCCTATTTTTCGATTTAAAACTTTCGTGACTGCAGGGATTCATATTCTTGGTTCTTTCGGTAAAGTCACGTAAAAGGGAAATAATTAAATAATGAAAATAAAACAATAACATAAAATTCTCACGACTTTTCGGTCACAACGCAAGCAGCGAAAGAACCAAGAATATGAGTCCCCCTATTGAGATGCGCTGGCCTACTTTTACAAGCTGGCCACACGGTTTGGGACAGGTGGGAGTACCCACACTTTACCCCGCCACACGCGAGCTGCCGATTGGCTGTGGTGCACCCGTGCAGACTGCTGGATGGACAGGCAGATTTATGGTTATTGCAAGTATAATATTCTTAATTACAGGTCTGCGTGAGGTATTGAGTCATCAACAACATACAAACTGCCTCTGCAGTAAGCTCCTCTGGCAGGCCACCCTGTCAAGTGTAGATGACTTGGGAAAGCCTTCATCCAGCAGTGGGTCGAGCATGACCGATTACGATATGTACGTAGTACAGAGCCAAATATAAACTACAACATCACGCTCCTGCGTGCACGACAACGATAAGAAATATAGAGCGTCAAAAATAAAACAACAAACGTCTTCGTGCGTAGATTCACTTGTAAACGTAATTAACACACCAATGTATACACCCCTGAAAGAGAGATGTGACCGCCTGCACATTGAGACATGCTGACAAAAACACTTTAACAATTCCATAAAGTGCTTTAGAGTAACCAGTGGTGGAAGTGTTGGGCATTGCCAAAGATGCCTCGTGAACAGGAAGGATGAACACGTGTGCATCTGAGCGTGATCTCACCAACAGCAAACTCACGAGGAGTTGAGTAAGATATAAGCCACAGGCATCATCTGATGCATAGGAGGAAACACAAGGGGCTTAGCAAAGCAGCCGTGCTGTGTAATGGGTTGCCAACCCAGCACTGTGGTGACCAATCTCAGAATTCCATTCACACCGTACTGAAGTACCCCTTTAGTACAGGATTGTGTGCATTCCTCTGTGGCGTGGACTAGTGTCACTTGGGCAACTGATAATATCTGGATTCGAAATAACGACGTCCATTTCGCCCTGATTATGGCATTAGTTGTGTTGAAGGTAACATAAAGACACGTGACATGTGAATGACGAGAAGGCGACCATAGTCTCTGCTCCTTCAAGGGAGGTGGCTATCAGTGCTCGACTATTGGCATTTACCTCCTGACAATATGTTGTGCCATACGCGAGAATTTAAACTTCGGCGACTGTGGGGAAATGGTCAGTCACCACGACACCACCACCAGAGCTTAGTGCTAAAGAAAAAGCGCCGTGGCATTTATTATAAACCCCGCACTTTCTGCATAACAGAGATTATTAGCCTGCCCAGTCTTGATATTCACAGAAAAAAATCTTCTCACCTGCCCAAGCGAGAGTAAGTCATTAATTTATAGCCTCGGGCGTTCAATAGCAATAAATGAATGATCATGCTACGTAAATGCCAGCCCCTCCCCACCCAGCCCCACCCCTCCCACCCCCACCCAGCCCCACCCTCCCCACCCAGCCCCTCCTCTCCCCACCCAGCCCCTCCCCACCCTCCCCTCTCCACCCAGCCCCTCCCCTCCCCACCCAGCCCCTCCCCACCCTCCCCTCTCCACCCAGCCCCACCCCTCCCATTTTTGGATTCTCGACGGACGGACGGACACAATAATCCCCTGTGGGCTGGTGGAACCAAGTGGTTCCTACCAGTATAACAGCAATGTATGTACATACGCCTTGTGTCAACCGACTGATGGAAAGGGCCTCATCATTGAGTGCAGGTCGTGGGAGATATTTGAACATACTTCACCACACTGGTCAGTGGCGGTAGGTCAATGTGTAGGAGCATCGGCGTGGTAGCACAGAAGTACAGCACAATAATTACAGTTGTTGGACTGCCCCTTGCTGACCGCAGTACAGTATTGAAGAGTGATACTGACTGCTAGTGTTACACTACAGTACTCTGTAAGTTTGTAGTGTACAGAAATCAGGGCTAATTATCATTTTTTTATGAATTCGATGACGTAGGAGCAAAACATTCACTAATATGAATTACATATCAATTCGATGACGTAGGAGCAAAACATTCACTAATATGAATTGCATATTAATGATCGATGTACACTGTATTCTAAATCAAATAAAACGTATCCGTAGAATGTTCATATTAAACTACAACTGCCACGTCATAATATGCAGGACAGCATTTTCTGGTTATGACAAGTGCTAACATTTCTTTACTTTACGTTATTTAATCTGCCCTCTCCGTGATATTCTACCCTGCCATAGGAATGTGGAAAGGCCGTAGCCATGGTGTCAACATTGGGGGGGACCAAATCTTCCAGGGTGGGTCCCAACCCAGAAAAATATCTAAATTTGAAAACTAATTTCCTGCATAAAATATTAAAAAATTCACTAACACATGGGATGGACTTTTTATTTATTTTTTACAATAATGTCAAATAGTGTATTGTATTACATTGCTCTGTTTTTACTGTTTTACCATTTCTTGTTTCATTGGGATGGACTTTTTATTTATTTTTTACAATAATGTCAAATAGTGTATTGTATTACATTGGTAAAACAGTTTTTACTGTAAAACAGTTTTTACTGTTTTACAATTTCTTGTTTCGTTGTATGTAATAGCAGAGATTAGGGAGTAATAAAGTACAACCATAACCACAATCATATAAACAGAAATATATGCATTGATTTATATGAAGACAAGTCCAGATATTGTGGCCAATATTTAGCAAATTGTTGTTTTTATTTACATAGCATAGCAATTGTTATAGCAATGTATTGGGGGGGATATTTTGAGCATATTTGGAATGTGGAATTTCATTTGGGAATTAAAAAAATATATCGCTTTGACTTTATTTTCGGTTTTTTTAATCGCATTATATTCGAGTAAAACAAATTTGTGTAGAACAAATCACTGGAAATCCGGTGATTGCAATCACGTATTTACATTACAGATCATTCATGACCACGCGTGGATTGGATGCGTGATGCACATGGGGCTGACGATGAGTAAAACTAATTTGAAAAGAACAAATCACTGGAAATCCGGTGATTGCAATCACGTATTTACATTACAGATCATTCATTACCACGCGTGGATTGCGTGGGTTGATGGAGATGATGCATGCGGCTCATGATGATGATAAGGAACCACGTGGGTTCGGAGGCGTACATAAGGGCTGGGTCACAACCAGCTTTAAACTCACTCTCACACACATTCTCTCTCACACACATCGCACATTCTCTTGCTCTAAGGTTGGTGTGTGGTGACAATGCCAGCATCAATGGACATCCTACGCATTGCTGTCATCATCTGCGTGGCGTATGCCGGTAAGGTTTAATTTACAATCTTGTCTCAGTCCCCCCTCCCTCTCCACCTCCAAACGCATCGCTCTTCCTCCCTTATCGAACAACAACAACTCTGCTGCCGTGTGTGTGTTTATGTAAGCGTGCGCTTGTGTAAGTGGTAAAGTAATGGCTATATTTAGCCGGCTTGATGGCAAGCGATGGTGATGACGGAGGGATGAGACTTGTATTGTTGTCAACCCGGGGTGCCGTGGGAGATGGAGCGATCGGAATCGACACAAATATAATCGCGGGTCAAAACTTAAAACAAAAATAATGATTTGTTAGATCGCAGGATCCGTGAGCCGTGATTTGCCCTGCTGCCTTCATCCAGCAGTGGATGGACCACGGCCGATGGTTTAAATGCCGTGTTTAGTTTTTTCTTTCGAAAAAATGAGCGCGGCACAATGCCGGATTGATTTTTAGGCGTGGATGTTGACGTCTATAGTTTTAGATTTGTGGTTTTTTTTAAAGGCTGTAAAAAATAATCACGAACCGATGTGACCTAGGACGTGTATTATAGGGCACGACGCAATACTGTACGTACAGTGTCGATGTCTACAGTATATATGTGTAATTATCTGGCACAACCACATTGTTGCCTAGTGTAACATTACATTTGTATTTAATATAACACGCCAAAGTCGACAATAGGCCTCTAGAATAACATTTTTAGCATTGCCGTGTTATGGTTGCTGTGTGCATTGTGGGCGAGGGGGGAGCGGTGGCGCAGTGGTTGACGCACTGTTATGAACCTGGGTGACAATGGATTCGTACACGGCTAACGTCAGTGGCGATTCTTACTTCAACCTCCCGCACTGACCAGCGTGGTGAAGTATGGTCAAACGGCACCCAGCGTGTGGAGTGCCAATTCATCCAGCAGTGGATTTGCCAAAGGGATTGTGATTTATGAATGTTGCTGCATGCGGTGTAAAATATTTTCACACCCCACAGTATATATGATGTGTACTACTGTTGGTTACTGTGACTGCTGTATTCGCGTGAATGATGACTGCAGTTGTCGGGAACCCAAGATGTGTGTACGACACGTTGCCTGATCGGTAATGCAGAACATATATGATATGAGCACATTCATTTAAACGCACACTTTTGTAAGGGCGACCTGGGATGGTAAAGAATCAAAATCTTGGGTTTGAAATCGCGGTCCAGTGACGTTTAACACATTCCTGCGGAGGGAGCTGGTAGGAACGTCGGGTTGCTCGGTCAATGGCTTGCAGGGTCAACGGCGGCGTGGTGTATTCCGCAAAGATGCCCGACTGTGAGGGCGGGCACAAGCCGGCGTGAGTAGGTTAAACGTTGAGTTTTATAAGGGCACCACAGGGTGACCAGCCCCTCTCCACCCTCCCCCATCCCTACACGATGGACACACTAATCCCCTGTGGGCTGGTAACCAGGAGGTTCCTACCAGTAGTTAAATGTCTAATTGTGCAGGAAGTGTGGCCGTTGGCTACTGTGATGTATAAGATTACAAAGTTGTTGCTTGCTATCGCATCTGCTGGCAGATTGGCCTCCAATAGAGGGAGCTCTCGAATCCCTATCTGTTTTTGGCCTACTCTTTCATACTAGCAAAACTTTTTGGAAAAGCTTGTACCCCTACCACACGCGATCTGCCGATTTGACTGGACGTGGCAGCGGTAGTTAGAAAAGGTACCAATTGCTTCAGCTGCCCCACTGGGAGACCGCATGGGTGACCTCAGGATTACAATTTCAAGTCTGCTAACTGTTTTTATAACACCAGCAGCTTGCAAGCCCTGCCGCAGATTTACTTTATTGACCACTGCCAAGACGAATGGTGGCTACATGACTGTCTACCCCCATCGCCTTGTGTGCTGGAGTGACCTCAGTAGTTGCTGATGGCCCTTTTTGCCGTAATCCACTACAGCGCTTAACCTTTAATTCCATGGCACACTCCAGCTTTCTCCAATCTTTATGGCACACTGAACTAAAGTTACTGTGCCCTCCAGCAGTGGAGGATTCGTCAAGGCAGACGATTGTGTGTGTACACACCACCTAAAGTGACACGCCGAATTGTTTCTATTTAATTATTAATTGAGATTTAATTCTGACCCAATCGGAACGTACCGTAGTAGGCCCCTGGGACTTTGCTGCGGGACACTGCACACCTGTTGTAAAGCGGTGAGCTACAGGTCCTACTAAACGAATTGCTCTTCGTGTGTGTGGTGTGCAGGGAGTTCCCTTGCAGTTCCCCCATACGCAGCGGTGTGCAGTCATGGGCCGGATGCCTGGTGCCGTGACCTGGACACGGCGGTGCAGTGCGGCGCTGTCCGGATCTGCCTGCCTCTCTGGAAAGAGGTCTGTCACCTGCTTTACCCGGTGCCTTGTGAATAATTTCTTTTTGAAAAGCCGTTTTCATTCGTTTGCAGCTAAAGGAGTTTGAGAGGCTGTTTTCACCCTAATGAATTCTTCCCGCTTATGGCTGCATTTGATAAGGCAATATCATCCATCCTTGGTCTAGGCCGATTTGGCCACGAGGTGGCTTCTGGTAATGTGGCGTGAAGATATTCGGGGGGACAAGTGCTCCTGTTTCCATTATTGGCTTTAGGATGTTTGGTCAGTTGGGCACTTTCAACTGTGCTTGGCAGTAGGACAAAGCCCAGTTGTGCCATTGGCTCAAGCGTTAAGTGTACACGTGTCATTTTCTAAAATTTGAGTGCCGTTCTGATCTCACCAGCAGGCCTCTGGTTAAATTGTAATTCTGATTTTATAATAAACTTCGTTTAATCTTTTATCACGTCCATGCCAAGTGCATCAGTACCGACGAACCGCAAACAAGCGTGGTGAGGTTGTACCAACAATTGCCAAAGCTATGCATTCCTCCATATTGTTTGTCGGTTGCATATGTATTAACTCCTTTCGTACTTTGTAGCCAACCATGCTAATCGCAGGTGAGTAAAATACATGAAGTATATTGTCTGTTCAAAGGCCTTTCCTTTACTATTCTCCTTTGACCCTGAACCAATGATGGAAATTGTATATTCCGATGGTATTGGGATAGTTACTGCAAGCCATGCAATTCTGCTTTTTCCACAAGCCTCTATTCCCTTACTCGCCCCTGGAGAGATGATTAGCCGACTCGACGCCAGGTTTTGAACTTTGATGCGCGATGAATACTCTAACACACCACCGTGTGCCTGCATGAACCCGAGGATGCGGTTGAATAACAGCCTCGAGGGACCGGAATATGAATTTCCAGTGGGTTGAATTAAATTGATAAGTGAGGGAAGTTTATTGGTAACAACTCAGGCTTTCAAGCTTGCCAAACTTTTATCATTTAAGTGACGAGGCTTCAACCTAGAATCTGCCATATCAAGTAATACATTGCTACTCCATTTTATTTTATTGGGCCTGAGCAACCTTAATGTTTCTCTTCTGAGTTTGCTTCCTTAAGTATTTGGGTCACGCTACTGATTGTTCTAATAAATGTGCAAATTATTTTTAAAAGTTAATAGTCTGCGTTTATTTTAATGCCCTTTCTAAGCTCTTTTCATTGTATGCCACAGCTGAAGATTCTGGAAATAAGTTTAGTTGTGATGTTTGTCCACAGAATGGATTCGTGTGCGAGTTCTGTGAAAAGTTCATGGTTTCCCTCGACAACATTTTGAAAAACGGTGAAACCCAGGTTTGTGATCTCATCCACATGGAAAAAAATAACCATTTATACTAAGACCATGCATTTCAGGAATATCGTTGGCAGCAATTGCCAGCAATGCATTCCCCATGAGCGTGCTGGCAACTGGGTGGATTGCAAAATTGAAGAGTGTTGTCTAGCCAATCTAAGCAGGTGTTAACGAATCAAGCAGGTTTTTTAACGAATTATGTATGCTGAACAATTTCTACGACCATAATTTAAATTGTTTTTTCAGGATTGAATGGGCCACGTATTAGGCCACTGCTGAACTAGTGACAACTGGCGTCTCCTGAGCCGCATGTGACTCTTTAATCCCCTACATGCGGCTCTATCAAGGGGCATAATGTAGAACGTGCTATAACGGCACATAATGAATGTTTCTCGTGTTATGCTGAAAACAATCACTATATAAACTTGGCTCTTGGCAGACCTCATGGGTAATTTGGCTCTTCGTCTGTTACACGTTGGCTGCCCCTGCTCTAGTTGATTAGAGATGGGGTACATCCTCATGCTTGTCACTAGTTCCCAGTCAACTGGTCATTCGGTCCTTCCTACGTGCAGTCCATTATTGCCAGTCGCTCGATCAATGCAATACGACTTGCCAGAAAAAAAATCTGAAGGTTTTTGCCAGCATCCGTCCAGACCCCACTCGTGCAAGTATCTGGTTGTTACTTGTTTAAAAACTGCTCATTGGGTTCCTTGGTCTTCAAAGTCAAAAGCAGTCTGCAGATGGAGCCCCAAGAGCACGTTAAGCAGAATCCAGCAAGTGGCAACCATGTACTGTCTTGACACAGTAAACTTAATTGGTTGCTACACTTAAATAATTGCACTTGCAGTCAATTTATTGACTGATCTGTTGACCTTATGGAGGTGAAAAACTAAAATTTGTATCTATTGCCTTCGCAAGATTTCAAGCAGTTGTGTCAGTGCTGATTGGAAGCTTGCCTACCCCGTTTAGTCTGCTGCCTCATTGCGTTTCCACTCCTTGTGGTTTGGAGTGACTAAGTTCGTAAGGAGTGGGTTGAGGCTTGTTTTCAGGGTTTGTGGAAATTGTACAGTTTCATTATCGGATGTTGCTGCAAAATGCACTTAATCAACGTCAACAGCTTTATGTAATGTCAATACTTTTCAAGGCCCTTTCAAATTACTTGCTTCAATGTGTTCATACTTTGTCTTGTAATGCATTGCTTATTTGGCGGAATGGCCCTAATTCCTAAAATGTTGCACACGCGCGAATCTCAGATGAAACTGGATGTAGTTTCTCTAGGTTGATGGTAAGGATTCCAACTTGGTGGTGGTGAGGGTGGAGCAGGTGGGGAACACGTGGAAGGCAATACAAAACCACCTAGTAGGTTCTGAATGGGGGGGGGGGGGGTCCCGGGTCTGCATGGCTGTTTGCTGCGGCTTGGCATTGTGGGTCGGGCAGTGTGCCAACATACCCAACCCCATTTGTGTAGTTACCCCATTGGGGGTTATAGAATACATGATGTTGCCTCCTGAATCGTGTCACGTGAACCCACTACACATACAAAGGCCATCCTCGGCTTGATTCTATACATAAATAGTTTATTTAGTGACTTGTTTCCCATTCTATTTTGGACTCTTATTGTGTATTGTTTGACCCATCCCTACTGGACATCTGTGCAAAAAGCGCTTAATAGCTCTTCCTCCTGCATTCTAAAAGATTGCCATTTTATAAAATTACAAACTTGCCGCTTTCATGCATTTATAGTGTTTTCAATTGTTGTTTTTCCCATTTCCAGGTTGAGTTAATGACTGCATTTTGTATGTTCAGGCCAAGGTGAAGAACAGCCTGGACATGGTGTGCGACCTGTTGGTGTTTAACACTCTGCGCGCAGACTGCCACGAGGCTGTCGAAGAGTTCTTGCCCAAGGTGTTCTCTTATCTCGAGGGCTTCCTGGTAGGCATTGTTGCATTCACGGGCTACACAAATGATGCAAACTGGGATTTCAATCGCCCCTTGGTGGGATATACCACTGTTTGAATGATTAGTGCACAACTTATTCTGCTGCCTCGCTTCGATCGTCGTTTCTTTGCACTAGTCTTTGGGTCTTTTGGTAAAATCGTGAGATGGGTTGTAAAAACGCTGATCACACCAAGCGGTCATCGGGTAGAGAAAGAGGTTGGCCTCTAAAGGCAAACTGTTTATGAAAGTTAAAAATGGGTGGGGCACGAGCCCTGGAGGAGCTTATGTTAATGCGAGGGATTCAAATACTCGGCAACAGCCAGTGCTGAAATGGAAACATTATAGCCAGTTGACTTAATCGGGTTTATAACGTCCTTCCAGTGATTGCCGCGTTTGTACCCATCCTCTCGGTTGAAATTGTCTCTATAATATGGATGGCTTCATGAACGAATCTTTGATAGCCAGTGGGCTTGCAAAGTACCTTCATCTTAGAAATACATTTTCGTGCCAGCCAACTGCATTAAAACAATGATCAGCCGTAGTATTGGTCCTACCACATTTCAGATCTGCCTTGTGCTCAAGAACATGGTCAGACATGTCGCTTAGTTTCCCTAATGTAACTACTGCCGCAGACACTGCTTGGTTTGTCGCCGCAGGGGTATTGCATCTCAGGGATTGCATCACGAATTTTATGTACTGTGTTTAAATCGAACCTGGATCTTGTTTGCTCATGATTGTGGAAATATTCTTTGACCCCTGTTATGTATGGCAAGGTGATGGTTTTGATTGCGTCCTCAGATGGTTATTTCCCAACAAATGGTGATCGCTTTATGGATTGTGTAGTCTGCATATCCATCTTGAGAGCTTGGTGTATGTGTTTTTCAGTTCACTGGCTAGGTGATGGTTGGAAATGCATAACTCTATGGTGTAGCGTTCTGGGAACATTTGGGAGTCGGGTTTAGGTAGGCATCGGTATGGGTGGCTTTCCTGTGGACAGTCCCGTTGAGCCATCTGGTCTCTTTTCAATAAAAGCATCCCAAAATGGTAGCTTGCCACCCTTTTCCACCTCCATGGTGAATTTGATGGCTGAGTGTATAGAATTGTGGACGAGGCATTGGTTTGGCCATGTGGCCAGATGACAAACATGTCCTCTACGCATCTTCCACAAGGACGATGTAGAGTGGATGGCGTCCGTCTTAAATTTTTCCATAAACATTGGCTACAACTGGAGATGGAGAACCCATTGGGGTGCCTTCAACTTGTTTGCAGAATGTTCCATTCCAGGTGATGGGGGTGGTGTGTGAGGCAGTTTCACCAGGGTTGGTACATCGGCATTCGGTCTTTATTGGACCAAATCTTCAATGGTGTTGGGCACAGGAACTTTGGTAAACAAAGACTACATTGAATCTAAAGTGCAAATCAGCTGGGGATTATGAGATGTCTTTAATTAATGATACCAATTGAGCCGAGTTAAGTAGTGGCGGTCTTACCAGTGTGGTTGTAATTCAGACCTTGCTCATCAAACTCGGTCAGCAGGTTTAATTTGCATTACACTAACCGTTACACCAGCACACTATCCTGACATTATCATAAAAATTTGAAAGTTCCACAACTAGTTCATGGCTGCCAAGAGCTAAAAATCGCCCAATGCTCGTTTCAGTTTGTAGACACTTTCACAGACCCCCATGTGAGCCATGATCCACTCATCTCTCCAACCACTTGCAGAATCAAAAGATTTAACTTTCCGTGTAAGAATACATGCCTGTTCATTAAAGCATGTGCAGCCCCAGCGACACGTGCATACAAGTAAATGCTGCGAGTGGTTAAGCTTGACGTGGCTGTTGTGTGGCATGTTCTCTGCTTACAGGCTGATCCCAAGAAAGTGTGCAGTGCCCTGTACCTATGTAGGTCGGATGATGAACTGGCTCTGCAAGTTACCCCAACCCCACAGTTCAAAGGGGTGAGAATAATTCACACGGTTGTGTACACAATCCAATGCTACTTTTCCTTAATTTGATACATGTAGCCCTGTAGTCGTTTATTTTTTCTTCAAATAAAATGCACCCGTGCTCTCGCAATGCATCCAGAGGGTTGAGCGCAATTCATTACCGTCAGAATGAGGCAAAATAATCTTGATTGCAGTTCTGACTTCATAATTACGACGATTGATTGCGTAGCCATAGAGGGTCAAACCTAATGTAACTCGATTCCTTTAATTTGAGAACTGGTGGTAAGATTATTAATCTCTCCTAATTTTTGACCCTGAACTCCTGGCTTGGATATAAGCTCGTCACCATCCAGTATGATGTGGATTTGGCAATGTTGACTTACTGATGCCACAAGTGTAACTGAACATTTTACAAGGTTATAGTTGCTGTTGGCCTGATGGAATGTGAAATACATTGCATATGCACTAAACCCTTGTCCAATTTAACACATGGGGCTCTCTGGCCTTTACAAATTTTCCAATATTCTAAATTATGTACAATGGTATGCCCTAGTGCCCCTGTAAAAAATCAAATTTTTTTCCAAAACTATTGATGCACCTGCATCAATTCTATCCAGAACTTTGGATTTGTCTCAGACTAAGTAATTTATACTTGTCCCTTTCTATTACTTGATATGGGTGTAGACGACATTTCTGAGGAGAGTTGGCATGCACCGTGCACACAACATCTAGTCCAAAGCAACAGGTTTGCACTAATGCTTACCATGCGTGCCGCCACTAGTATGAGTCATTGTGTTGGTTGTGGTGCGTGACGTCGCTCCACATGAATGCCATAACATTGGACCATTTGTGGCAAATTGCTAATTCTGTATATATGCAGAAAGCGCAACCAAGCTGAATTGTCCCCAATTGCTAAGTCTCATACTGAATTAACAGTTTTAATGTACTATGGATTAATTACTTGCAAAGCAACACTGGGAAAAATAATTGCAGTGTTAATGCTTGGCACGGTGTGCAGGCACATGAGAAGGATGGCTTGCGTTCTGTCTTGGCAGCTGAACGTGACGTGCCAGCTGTGCAAGAATGTTGTGGCAGCAGTTCATGACACCTTGACTGATCCTACCACGAAGGTAAAACTGGTCGATTGGGAATTTTTGGAGTTGCTGGGTGGCTGAGGCAGCTTAAAAGATGGGCTGGTGCATGTTTTTAGAAAATCGGGCTCTACAAAAATCTTGTGGCATTAATCCAATTCGCAGCCTAGTGGCTGAGTAATTAAAGAATAGTGGATAAAGTCCAGTATTTATTTTGCTATGAATCCAGCTTCCCTCAATTCTATTCCCGCATTAACCAGCGTGGTGAAATATGGTCAAGAAAGCATGCATTTCCTGATGCATAATAGCTTGCTGCCAATTCTGCTGTGGAGCAAACCAGGGGAAATCGACTTGGCACACTGCCGAATTTTCTCTCGCAGAAGGAGATTTATGGAGATGTCGATGCTGTCTGCAACATGATGACCTTCCAGCCACTTGCAGATAAGTGCAAGCGCCTTGCTGACAAGTACCTGCCCGTGCTCTTCAACTACCTCGACAAAAACCTGGTACAGATGGAATCTTCAGTGGCATATTAGGATTGCTACCTGTCATGCTTTTCCTTGGGCAACCCCTCCTTTTTGTGGTAGTTGTCCTGGGACATTAAATACCACATCTTGTTGCGTAATGTATAACGCCGCTCATGACGCATTTATGTGAAGTTTCTCCCCTCTTCCATATCGTAATCTACGGCGTCCTGTGATTAGACGCGCCCTGGTTCTTTGAACGGCAGAGGTAGCCCCAAGTGATCTCCACTTTTGTACGCACATGGCTAATGAGATGGTGTACGAGTGGAGGGGACTGCATTATTTATGATGCGTCTTCTGGAGACTTTTTTTATATCGTTGAGGACCTTTGGTTGCTTTTGATACTAACCTTCGAAATAAACTCGCGCTTTCGTGCATTTGCTCTGTCCATCCATAATAGAAGGGATGCACGAACGCTCATAAAGCGACCCAATAGAAACCCACCTGAGGTATACAGTTGCTGCTAATAGGGCCCTGCCATATTAATAACCAGATGAATCTGGGAAACTCTCATGAACCACAGTATACTAAGTTGTTTGGCCCCACCAAGCTACCTGTTAGCTGCCATACTAGGAATTAACTACTTCTGAAGATGATGCACATTGGTGAAAGCATTGCGTGTATCTTCATTAGTTTTCTATCTTGCGTAGTTTTATCAATTTCAACTTGTTCTGCCGTGTAACCCAAGGTGAAAGCATGTTCTTTCAGTACTCCCTACAGTTGGTACTCTGACAGGTGACCGAAGATGTCCAGAGGTACTACATGCAGTAGGCCCTCGGTTAATGTTTTTAATCTGGTCCATGAAAACTACTGAAGTGACATAACTATTCATCGAATTCACTTATGAGTTGAAACATAGGAGGAGTTTCCATTGCCAACACAGAAAACATAATGTAAGCAAGTCCAGTCGGTCTAAATAGGCATCGCTGATTGGCTGAGGCATGCTCTGCCCTCTTAAGCACTTGGATTGGCACCCACGTGCGTAACGTAAAGGTACGTTAATCAAAATGTTAACGTTGGTCAAAACAATAGGGTCGTGTGGTAATTGTTACCCGACCTACTGCATTGAGTCGCTCCGATAGGCCTTGCCCAACAATCTGTTCAGATTAAATGATCCAAAGTGCTACTTTGTGTCATGGGAACAAAAACACACTCGTGCTTGACTTGCACTCAAATGGAGTGGGCTTTACTAATGCAACACTCTGACCATTAGGCCATCGACAATTATTGCGCTTAATTTTTCGAATTGCAGAACCTGAGTATGCAATGCTTCCCCAAGTGTGGCCACTGGTTCTACTTGTGTGTTATCCTTTTTGTTTTTACGCAATTTGCCCCTTTGGAATCTTGATCTGCTTTTTGCACTGGCTATCGCATGCAATGCCCTCGACTGGACATGGTAACGATGACTGCTACGAACCAACGTGGAGCTCAGTTTTCTGTTCTTGCAAAATCCTGGATTAAACTTGAGTGGTATCTTAATTTTCACTGGTAACTGAAACCTCTGCCTTGTTTAATTTTAAATAAATGAGGCTTTTAACCACCTAATGCCATTAATCTCAGCTGTGAAGGTTACATTTGCCTTTTCAACAGACATCCTAGGCAAAGGATGCCTGGTAGGGACTTATTTTAACACTGAGTTATGCATAATTAATTTCACATTCGGTCTGTACCACACTTGTGGCGAAGAAATGATTGTGCAAAGTTGCTGTGACCTGCGGTTGAGAATCACACCATTGAAGCAATGCAAGCTGACTCGGCACTCTTGTATCCTGAGATAAGGCATGCCTTTGGCTTTTTTTCCATTAGTTTTTTTTCAAGTACCATTATTTTGGGATGTGTGTTTTGCAATTTTCTGTGCAATCCAGGTGCCCGATAAAGTCTGCAAGGCGTTGAGGTGGTGCCCTTCAAAGCAAGAGGTACAACGTGAATTTTTTAGTTTCCTCCACCTTGCAACGCGCTGCGATTTTGTTCAAAATCTGCAATGCGCTTCCAAAGACTTGAGTGTACAGGTTGAAACGTGAAAATGCTGGTCTAAATACAGCTCTCGTGTTGAGCAAAATATGTGTCGGCTATGAAATGACACCAACTAAATTGACCGTTTGTGGTTTATTTTCAGATTGGGTTTGATTGCAACGAGATGCCCTCCTGCCAAAACTCTGGTACTGAGAATGTGGAGTTGTTTTTTTATTGAAATTTAATCTTGTTTGTCCTGTAAGCCATTGATGGTGCTTGGCATACTGCTTTAATATTCCAGGCAACTACAGTTTTATTCGTCACACACCACCCCACTGGCAGCAAATAGCTTTATCAACATGGCCTTGGCTTCCTCTTGCTGTTGAGAGTGCCATGGTGATGCTGTTAACTACCTTGCCTGGTATACAGGAGGTCGTGGGTTCAATTCTGACACCTGTGTTTGGGGTTTGCATGTTCTCCCCATGGTCACATGGCTTTTTCTCCTGGGTCCTCTGGGGTTTCCCCTCCGCATTTTAGAATCGACATGTGTTTTCAAGTATTTGGCTGCTGTAAGTTTCTGTGGTGATGAGCCGCTTCGTTAAATCATCTGACCAAGTTGCTTATGAAATAGCGCCGTATAGCTCGGTGGCCTCTACTGCTAAAATAAAGTTTTAGCTATAGTTAACTTTCCCTAAATCAGGTAGGCAATCTATTGGCTTCTGCCTCACCAAATGAGACTGGCACTGCCTCCACCACCCTTCGTGTTTGGTGTGCACTAACAGCATGTCCCCAAGGTAATACAACAAGGTTCAGTGTAGTGTGTTTTTAATTCCAATTTAATACTTCTAGGTCTGTCCCAACGGTCGTCGGCAAGCATGTGACATTACATTTAGCACCCACGGTATGTAGCCTCCAAGAACACCAAGCTAAGAAGCCTTACCATCTCCCTGTTTGTGTTAATGAACACAAACCATTTGCCTTGGCAGATGACCCCATGTGCCATGCGTGTCGTGCACTGGAGAAAGCCCTGAGCCTCTCGCTCCTGAATCTGGTCTTCCCAGCCCAGGAGAACCTCGTCTTGGCTGACTGGACCCCAATGGACTCGCTGCAGAAGGTGATATTATTTGCATTTCCAAATCCTTCATGCATTCGGTATTAGCACCGTTCTTTATTGAGCAAGGCTATCGCGAAGGCGTTTTGGATTTAGTTTGCAGTTTTTGCAATAAGGCACATCGTTGCTATGTAGTTTACTATTCATTTGTGAGCAACTTTGGAGCCTGTGGTGCCTTTTTTTATGCATGGTTTTGTTCTTTGCCTAACATCGTGGGATCTCGCAGCCCATTTGTTAATCCGCAGCTGGATGAAGATATTTGACCAGATTTCACTTTTGGTCAGTGGTTTTGAAGGTGGTGGGGGAAGGATTGCATGTTGCACTTGGGTGTGCCCTCTCCTGCCCACAATATAGCCCTACAGCCTAGAACAAACACTCTTGCACAGTATTTGCCCTCCCCAGCAATTTCCAGGCTCCATAAGCTTGGATTCTGAGATCGCTACTGACTTGGTAGTTTACCTGTTTGTGTACAAATGTGGATTTAATTGATTGAAATCTCCTGTGCAGGAATACTCTCTTGTGGATCTGGTGAGCCAGATGGCTATGGTGCTGCCCTTGCATTGCCTGCAGGGGCCCTCCTACTGGTGTCAGTCCACAGACACTGCCAACATCTGCAATGTAAGTGGTGCCAGTTTATGCGAGGGTTGATAAAGCTGGTACTTTAAATGCTTGGCTTTTGCTGTTCACTTATCAGAGGCCAGAATTTGTTCACTCTTGGATGAACGCAGTCCCCAACCAATCCAGTCTTATCAGTTGCCTTTTCGCTCCAGTTCTGGCAGTTGACACCCTCATGGGGCCATTGCCTCTTTGCTGCTGATCCATTGCGCGACTTGACCAGCCATAATCCCGTGTGAAGCATGTGTCCTGCTCAAGTGCACTTGCTTTACCAGTGAATGTGTCCAACTTGCACACATTCTAACCAATGTGTTGTTCCTCCCCTGTCGCCATGTTGACGTTTTTCAGGTTTTGTTTAAGTTTCATTGCCAACGTAAGCTAATATACACTAATTAGATGTTTCTATTTTATCCGATATCTTTATTTTTATTTTATTGAATTCGATTCCTGTCTTAGGAACGTGGAATTTCCACCACTGGCTTGGGGGGGGGGGGGGGGGGTTGCACTCTGACCTGTACACTGTAGTTCACGTGACATTGGAGCCACTTTGTTTATGACTGTCATGCATTTTGTCATTTCTGTATTTCCACAGGCCATGGAGCACTGCACAGAGGTGTGGGGATCCAAGTAAACGAAAGGGCCTCACAACTTGCCCCCCTTGCCCTCCACTTATTCCCCCCCCCCCTCCACTTATCCCTGAATATCTTTGTCCTGGTGTGACCTAAATGTCTGCCGTTGAAAACCGATCACCTTTTCAAATATAATTAATATTCCATTATGGCTTTTGACCGGTCGAATGTGCATTTTTACGTATTGTGACCACCATGGTGGTTTGATATGGTACTTGCCGACCCCCCCCCCCCCCCCTCTCTCGCTTCATCACGAACCGCATCTTGTGCAGTACATCCAAAACTACAGGAATCTCTACCCCCAGCTATAAGATGCTGCCATTACACGTCCTTTCACATATTTGTTGCTCATTGGGGAACATCGATTGTAACGTTTTGCATAGGCTTTTTTTGTAAATGGAAGAATAATTGTTCACTATCTAGGAACACGTGTGGTAAACTTATTTTGCAATGTAATGCTGCACTGCACATTTGTTGTCTATCACTGAGAATCCCTCCACCCCCATGATTGGCCTGGGGTCTGCCAGTCCACCATTTTTGTATGGGTGTAAGGATATAAATTGAAAAATATTCAAGGGCTTGGAAAGGTGAGTGGTAAATGATGGTACCTCTGGCTAGAAAAGGGGAAAGTATTGGAATTGGACGTTTCACAATTTTGAAACGAGAAATCTTTTACCAGCGTTCATGGCCAACCCATGACCTTTGAACTATTCTAGTTGATGCAGGAAAATTTCTACCTCCTGCTTCCTGCCCCTCCCCACCTGCTGGAGGTGGCTGAAAGGAGAATCTAAGTAAGAGGTCTTGCCCAGCGCATGACCCATCCGCCATCTCGACCTCGGTGATTTGGTTTTCTGATGCGAGTGGTGGGAAGTTTAGCACGTGGTACCTGCACTGTTGGATCGGTCTCCAAGGAGGACTGTTGTCCTGTGTTCCCCTTTTTCTCGGGGCTGTCAAGCGTCAGCTTCATTAGCTGTTGTGGCAATCTTGTGGTTGGCTTGGACGTGACTATTACCAAAAGTTGATGGCAGATGGGTTGTGGCAGGAGGGTCCTACCTAGCTGGGAAAGCTTGCTTTTTTAACGTTACAAAAGTTTGAGTTTTGAGTCGGCAACTGCTAATAAAAACGGCGCTTAGCACAAGTACTAAAGCTCTGGGTTTTTTTGCTTTAGTTTTGAAATGTAATTGCCACATCCTACGTTATTTTTTTCCTATCTGGCAATCCGATTTGGACGGTGTGGGTGGTTGTGGTTTTGTTTCCATAAACATAAAATATAAAGTTTCCGTTTCACGCCTTTTTGCTTAATGTGTTTCTCTCGCGTGATGCAGTGAAACCACGCGCCGGTTGCCTGCCAAGCACAATGCCCCACGTCTGACCGCATAGACGATATGAGAATTGAAACTGCATAGCGCTTTGAAGTAGGATAGCCACATGTAAGCGACATCGCAGAAAGCGAATCTCGGGAAACCTGTTCTTTTAAAAGTTGTTAAATTGAACAAACATATAATTTGCAGATTCAAGCCTCAACCTTTTGAATTTCTAGTCGCATGCTTAAATTATTTCAAGGTGCGTGATGACCTCCAAGCTGGCGTGTCGTGCACAACACGTTAGACTGACTTGGAATTCAAGGAGCCCTCGACGCGTATAGGAAAAGGGGCCCCAGCAACATTTTGGGTACAAATTGGTTGGCCGCATTAAGAAATCGCACCAAAGCGAACCCCCGAAACCTTGTCATGCTTAAAACGTTGATTGGCAAGTTTCAAGAATCTTGGACCTTCAATTGCAGTCCATTTGCTTGACAAATTCTTTTTTCCCCAGAGTAGCATGAGTAGTCCCTCAAACTGCTATGAAGCCTGCATTGTCATTACATTGTTAAATATTAATAATAAAAATGTTTCTGTTTTAAAAGTTGGAGTCTATTGTGTTTTTTATTAGCCATTGCAATTAAAATGTTAATGCTGTGCTGGTGTGGACGAGTTTAAATTGCCGATCCCAGACATTCTGCTGCAGTGTTGCACCGAAGTTGATTAACTGCTGTAGGTGGATTGGCTCATGGTTCAAACATTGGGGTGGCTGGGAAGTGGGAGTAAATCGAGAGCGTTGGAATTTGATAATTTGGAATGCAAATTTGGTAATACTGAATGCACAGTACCATGTAATTACATATATTGCAAGACAACGTGGTGCTGGCTCTGAAGCCTTCATCAGTTTGACCGTGGCATTTAATGCATCCACTTTCAGTTTATCGTGCGTTGTAGAACTCTTGCTGTCAGGCCACAGACACTTTTTCAATGAGCTGTATCTCGTGCAAACCGTTGACGACCTGTCCCCCACCGCACGCGCTTTCCTGCCGATTTGCGTCTGTCGGTTTATTGAACCGATGATAAATCTGACACGAAATGTTATTCCACAGCAGTCTTCTGGTATCACAAACGGCACTTATTTTTTAGACTTTTTTTTAGCATGGCCGCAGGTGCAAAATAAACACCAAGAGATTCAATTCTTCATGACCGGCTTCCCAGCTTGTGGCAACGCCTTCTTGAGCAATCGGAAGTATACGCTCCATTAAATGGTATTTATGGGAAGAGGCTTAACATTGCTTTTGCTGCAGTCAACCTTCATTAATTTGCTCAAACTTAAATTGCACAGATTTACAAGCATTCTTGTGCTGCCCCAGCCCAAAAGGCGAGGGATGAACGGTGACAATTCTGACTTGTTGCCTGTAAGGTCTGGGACTGGCATAGAGTACCTGCAAGACGCTGCTGCTGCACCAGTATTGCTGCTGTGGTGAGTCGACGTTTCTGTAATTGGTGCTAGAATCCTGTGATGCTCGTGTAGAATTGCTCGCCATCACGAGCTGGACGTTAAAGCTTGTTTTTTTCAAAACCCTAGCAGAGATCACTGGACTGCTTGGGTTGGAGAGATTCTGAGCTCTAATCCAGACGGCTGTGATTTAAACCGTTTTTAAGTGTAGGGAGGTGATGGTCTTGACTCCATTACCAATGACTTCACGCACACATACAAATACCCATCGCATAACATCTGGTTCTGCACTTTAATTGAATAAACGAGCTCTGGGTATTAAAATTACAATTGCTTTGTCATGTGACCACAAATCGATATCGGGCAGGTGGACAAGTGCTGCCCCCTAGTGTCGACCAGATGTTTATTTGAAGGTATCTCGACGAGTGTTTTACACTTGTTGATGTTCTCTTCGTGCGAAAAATAAAACTACACTTGAACGGTTTAAATCACAGCCGTGTCAGGATTCTAGCTCAATCTTTCCCCATGCAAGCCCGGTGATCTCTGCTAGTGTAACTCCAGCTAGAAAATGTCTCCATCGCATCCATCTCCAAAAAAAACTCTAATTTCTTACACCCAACAGTCGTGTACGGACTTCTGCGAGTGCGTACTTTCAGCAGCACTTTCAAGAGAAGCGAACTGGAGCCGGTTTGACGCCATCTCATCGGCAGCCAGGCTTATTTGTACCAATGCTGGTTAATGGGCAATATTGCAGAGGTCCTTCCATTGAGGTCCCAGTTTGATGGAAAATGATATAATTTACAGTAAAACCTTGGATTGCGAGCATAATTCGTTCCGGAAATGTGTTTTGTAATCCAACGCACTCGTATATCAGTTGTGATCACGTGGTGCTTGGCAGACAAAGTGTATACGTACTACTCGTATTGCAAGACATCGCTCGTTTATAAAATTAATATTTAAAGGTTTCGCTCTCCTTGCAAAACACTCGCAGACGAAGTGACTCGCAATCCAATGTTTTACTGTAACTAATTAAATGTGCATTATCATTACATGGCACCAGTTGTACAATTGGGAGGCAGAGGAGCAAAGCCAGGCTAATTTGAACGAATTAATGCTAGTAAACTGCAAATGGAGATTACCACTGACCTGTATTTGAGGATTCGTGAGTTAAGAATTCAGATGAGTGCCACCAAGTCGGATAACAAGGTGACCAAAAGCGCATTCGTAACATTATTTCGTTTCAAATCTATATTTACAGTAGTTAAATTAATCAAACTTTCACGACCAATATTACGATCCATGATTTATTTTTGGGGGGTTAGATCGTGTAGGTATAATGTCAATTAAACCAATGTACCCTCCACCACCCTACACAGCCAAACAAATCAAGTTGTCACGTGGCCACATGTGCCAATTGATTTTGGTTTTCAGCAAATTTCCAGTTAAGCGTCGTACGTAATTGTAAAGAAATTTCCTTTTCAATATAACCGGTTTGCGTAGAAAACCAAATCAATTGTGGGCACATTTTCCCACGTTACAACTTCATTTGTTTTGGCTCTGTCAGGTGGTGCATTAAACCTGCAATATTTAGTCCAAAATAAATAATTTGGAAACCAAAACATTGTTTTTGGGTGCTCCAAAATCAGGCCAACAATTCACGACGGTTTTGTTTAAAAAAAAAATGCGGCGTTAATACGCGTCTAAGTGCCACCGATGTCTGCTTTAATAAGTGTGAGCTTGAGCAAACATCAGGGACTTGGGATACACAGAGCCCAGAGTGGGAGGCTTGTATTTTGCAGTCTTCACACGGCTTCCTCTGTGATCACTTTGAGTGCGGGAGGTGAGTGACGACGCATCGTTCTCTAGCCACATGGAAGTCCATGGAGATTCGTGTTTAAAGCGAACGAGTAGAGAGAACCCGTTGCTCTGCAATAGAAAACAAGACGCTGCTATACACTTATATAAGCGCACAACTGTATCTGTGATCTAAGTTGCCTTGTGGTTGTTGTTGTTTGACTTGCATCCCACTGGGATTTTTGCACAGCGTTGGTGTACGGTGCTTTTTTCTGGAAGAATTAGCAGTTTTTTTCCCTGGATTTTCTGTTTGCGCATAGTCACTTTAAGATGTTTTCTTGTTCATGTTTTTGTTTTTTGTTTGTTGCGGTTGCACCCGATTCAAGAGCCGAATGGCTCACAGGGCTATACCAAATTAATGAAACTGAAAACTTTGTGATGAACGCTGCACTTCCCGTCATTGTCATGCAGAGGGCGATGCAAACCTACGCGCCCCCTGCATGAATGACGGAGGCGCAGGGACAGACATTCGATCACGTTGGAATCGATCTGCAGACGACGGTCTTCTCGCATGGCCAGCTCTGTGTAGCCTCATCTCGATCCCGCAATCCCAAACAGGTGAAAGTCCGCATAGAACCGAATCCCCAGCAAGGCCATCTACTTAACGACGAGAGAAAATTCACTCGAAATGTCCTTTTAAATTCAGTCTTCCAGATGTAAAATGATAAACGCTTTTAATGATGAAATACAATCATCGAATTCAAAGCATAATACAATTCAAAGATGTTTCATTTTAAAACTTCAAAACGGAGCATCGGGTGCTTGCGTGAATGCGTCGTTCGTGTGCAATCTTTTGTGACTTTCCTGGCCGAGTTGTTTTATATTAAGTTCAAATAGTCGATCAGACTGCTGTGTTAAAACGTCCTTAATAAACCGTATAAATCAATGTTATGCGAATGTACGATTTTATTACAGCTGCGATACAACCTATTCAGATGTCCAACTTCATCTTGAACTTGACTCTGTGAGTGTCCGATCTTTTATTTAAACTCCATGAAGTTCGTGCATACAAGACCATGCATGCTGATGTCCGATTTGATCAGAGCTGCGATTCAATCCATTCAGATGGTCTACTTCCATCTTAAACTTGACTCTGTGTCAAAGATTTGTATCAAACTTCATCCAGTGAGTGCAAACAATAACAAACACTCATAGGGAGGTGGCAGCAGAACCTCGAATAGCGCCACCACACCTCAGAGAAACAAACAAAGATCCCCCGTATAGCCTTAACAGACTGGTAGGGCAAGTGCTGTTTATTAACGAGCACTTATGAAGGGCGGCACAACACACGAGGGGATAGGTGGCCACGAACAACCACGTCCGGCCGCCTTTGTCTCCCTCGTGGCGATGTTTACACACCACACCAGGCGCTCATTTGAGGCTGAGTCGACCTAGGGGAGGCCCAGGATCGGTTTAGATAATTATCGTCACTGGTGTTGGCCGTGAGCGGGAATTGAACCCGGCTCGCCAGGTTTGTAGCGCAGCGTAGCGCTAACCGCTGCACCGCTGCACCGCTACACCGCTGCACCTCTACACCCAACACGCATGAGACGTAAATTCAGAACTTCACTCACGACGTAACCCCGACACGCGCGCACACAGTCCACCCACTGCTCCATGTCTGCACAGCACATCCGCTGCGCAGCACTCAAGCAGTCTTGCTCTTTTGCTCTTTTGCACCGTACGTAGCCAACCGTGCTAATCGGAGGTTGCGGAGCAAGGACAACAACAACAACAACAGACTAAACACCAGAAGCAGTTCTAAAAGAAATGCGTTTTCAATCTAGATGATGACTTAAAAGTGCATAGCTCCAAGGCAGTGCCGGATTATCCTCGTAGCAAAAGTAGCTACATATGCTACGGGCCCCGCACTTTCAAGTGCCCCGCGCTAAATGCTTTCAAGCTATCAATTCCGGTTCAGTGATTCTGCACTTGCTCTATTACTATAGTACTATATTGCCTTCAACTTTTATGAACGACTGGGTGTTGAAGGTTAGCGATTTGTCGTATTATCTAGCTGTATAGCAAATGGAAAAAATTCAATTACTTTACTATGCAAGTTAAACATTTATGTGTTTTAATATTTACGTGTTTTGTTTAATGTAGGGCCCCTTTATAACATATGCTACAGGCCCCGCACTAGCTTAATCCGGCATTGCTCTCAGTTACTTCCTAATATCGGAAGGGAAGAGCGTTCCAGACGGCCGCAGAAGCGCATCTTAAAGTGCGCGATGCGGTGACCAAAATCTTTGTTCGATCGCTTAGGGGCCAT